GGGGGTCGGCGAGGGGGCGGGGCTGCGGGCGTGGGCGGTGCGCGGCGGCAGGGACGGCGGCGGGCGCGCCCCTCCCCCTCCGCATGTGTGTCCTGGGTGTGACCGCGCGTGTGATGCGCTGCTGTATCCGTGGGTGGGATTCTGGATGCGCGTGCATCCGCACCCCCCCAACACACACACACACATGAGCGCGCACAAGCGCACCTACGGCAGCTTCTGCGAACTTGTCCCTCGCCCAGCCTCCTCCTGGACCGAGCGAGCCGCATGGGACCTCGGGGAAGCGCCCAGGCCCTCCCACAGCCCCCCAGTCTCACACTGAGACACACCGCCCCCTGTGCTCCGGGGTCCCACTCGGACCCCTTGGCCACTGAAAACCTCCCAAGCTTTTCACTTTTCCGCGACCACCAGTCCGGTGGCTCCGGGTGCGACCTCCCTTCTTCCAAGCCCACTCAGCGCCAGACGAAGAGCGGGGTAGCTGGTCCACACGGGCCGGCTCCAGGGGCTTCGGGCCTCAGCAGTTGCTCGAGTGGGTGAGAAAACCCACGTGGGGACCCCCAGACCTGGAGCGGCCCTGGCAAGGTCACTGTCAACCGGGGCTTCCCCACCTGCACTACCCGATGGCACTGCAGAGAATGCAACCAGAACGGGGTGGCCGTGTTGGGGGTAGGGAGAACCCTGGAGGCCCTGCGCCCTGCTCCGCCGCTGGGCCTTAGGGGAAGGAAGACGCCGGCAGGCAGGACCTTGGCAGTTCCCAGGCAAGGCCCAGGGGGTGTCCAGCACGGCCCGTAGCTGCTCAGCAGCACTTCCTCTTGTATATGTGAACTTTTCAAGAAAATGAAAACATTTACTCTATTTTAATGCTGCTACTTAGCGATAGAGGGCCATGACCAGTAATTAAGGTCCTCAAAAAGCAATTAGTGCCCTAGTCACCTAGGAGAGGGCCTGGGAGAGCCCTGAAGGGAGCTTGTAAGGGTGGGTCAGACCCGAAAGCCTCAGCAGCGTCCTGGGCAGGGGTCACCTGGTCCTCCCGATCTTTTCACACTGGCTGGATCACTGAAGGTGAAGGTGAAGCTGAAGATTGGTTCTGGCTGGGGAACTGGGATTGATTTGCTGTATAAAAGTCAGTGGGAGGCCCACAGTGTGGAACCAGGGAGGCAGTGGCGGTGACTGGTCCAGGCCTTATCCTTGTTCCTTGGAGCTTCATTCCAGCAGGGAGGCAGCCACAAAGAAACTGGTGGATAGAGGAAGGGAACAGTTACAGGCTGTGTTAAGTGCTGTGGGGGGCAGGGAAGGGGCAGAAGATACCTCTAAGGACAAGAAAGCAGCTGGAAGGGGCAGGGTGGGGGGTGATCTTACCAGCTGCAAGAGCAGACTGTGCAAAGGCCCTGTGGCAGGCAGAGAGTGCTGAGCAGGAAGAACCAGGGACAGCCTAGCATGCCTGTGCAGGGGCCCTGCTGTGATGGAGGGGGCAGGGCAGGAGTTCCCACAGGGCCCCATGGAGCAAGGAATTCTAATGTGACAGACTTTCACCCTCATCTGCACACTCTGTCCTTCAGACGTCTGCAGAAGGGACAGGGCATGGATTTTTTAAAGTAGGCATTTTTTAAAGACAGCATCTCTAAGCTCACAAAGCCTGTAGCCTTCAGGAGCCCCGTGGCCCATTTATAGATGGGTGAGGCTGCACAGACTCTGGACAGGCAGCGTCCACCTCAAGGTCTTGTAAGGAGACCTCCTCCCACCACATCCGGCTCCCTCCAGCACCTCTGAGAGCCTTGGGCTGATGATACTCACCGACCGTGTGCGTGGCGTTCGATGGTACCAACTCTGAGCTCTCCAGCCAGAGGGGGTAGAGCGCAGTGCGGGGGGCAGCCTCGCCCCGCAGAAGGGAAATGAAGAACAGATCGCGGAGTGATAGGAGATGAGAAAATAGCATTAGAAACAATGAGGCTGTAATATATTCACATCGCTAGAAAGGAATGTTGGAGAGATGAAACACAGGACAATTTGGAAATTGGCATTAAAAGTATTTAATTAAACTGTACAGAGTGTTCAGATTTTTTTTTTAATCCTCTTGGCCTCTGGAAAATTTAGTTCTGCTTTTTGTTTTTTTTTTTTTTTTTTAAGGGCGAAGATTTTCTTGACAAAGATGGGGGGAATGAACCTCCTATTGGTTCAGCCAGCGGGAGGTAGAAGCTAGACCTCCCCCCAGGAGAGGACTCGCACCCTGGGGGCACATGGCTGCGACTGCGGCCATCAGGCTGCCTTGGGGGCCCTCTACCTTGGCAGGCTGGGTGTGGGGCAGTGGGCAGCAGGGTCACCTCTGTCTGACCTGTGAGTACCCGAGAGCTCACCACCCTGACCGGCCACTCTGCTCCGTGTCCGGGCACCCAGTCCACCTTCAGGCTGGCTGAAGCCCCCAGGGCCCGTCATACCACGCTGGTCCCTTCTCCTGCCTGTCACGTGGCCTCCTTCCTCTCCAAAGGTCCCCCTTCCCTGCCACACACTCCTTTCCGTCCAGAAGCACCCACTGGTCCCAGGCTCTCTGTCCAGTCTGTCCTGCCCCACTGTCCCTTTGGACCGCAGACCCACCATCCAAGCACCCCTCCAGGCCCAGCCCTGGCCCTGCCTGGCCTGTTGCTGGGGTGCTTAGCTTGGCCCGAGCTGCCAGTGCTGGACACTCCAGGGCCTCCCTGACCACGACACCTCCCCCACGGCACTCACCTCACGGTGCTCAGGCCGGCCTGGGGCTCCCAGGGCAGCCACTGTGTCATGTCTGATGTGCCTGCGGTGCCTAGCAGGTGGGTGTGGGGAGGCCAGGAGACACTTGGCGAGCGTGGAGTGGCAGAGCGGCGACCCGAGCGAGGGTGGGGAGAGGTGAGGCGCTGGTCACTGGAGGGGTGGAGGCTGATTCCTGATCGCCCCAGCCCCTGTGGGGGCTTACACTGCACAGGAGGGGTCCTGGGCCTTCTGCAGTTGGCTGATCCCCCTCAGCCATCCCCTGTCTCGCTGAGCCCCCCAACACTTCTGGACGAGCCACCATCTCCGAGGAGCAGGGCCTAGCGCCCCGCTGCCTAGAAACTGAACCCAGAGGTGCCTCCGTCAGCCTGCGTGGGGCTGGAGGCCAGGCTCTACAGGAGTAGCCCTGCCCCTTCAGGGCAGGCGGCAGGGCCAGCACAGGCCTGGACCCCTGCCCGGCTGGGATGCCTCCAGTAACAGGCCCGTACGCCTGCCCGGGCCCAAGCATCCTGGGCTGTCATCCCAGCTCAAGGGCGATTTGGGGGCTGCCTGCCCCCTGGACAGTGCCACCCCCGGCCCCAGCACAAGGTGGCAGCTAAAGGCCAGGCTTTTCTAAATTCTCACTTGACACTCACAGCTCCGGTCAACACAGGTGTCCAGGAGATGCTGTTTGTGTAACGCTCAGGAGTCTCCTTTGCATTTTAGTGTCCTGTTTATTTCTTGAGCTGTGCCTGTGGAATCAGCCCGCTCAGACAAGTTGCTCTGTGACACCCCACCCCCATGTCCCCTGGGCTCCTCCACTTCTGGGTCCCCACAGGGCAGTGCTGGACCAGGGACCAGGAGGAGCAGGTGTTCTGGGCTTCCGGCAGCCCTCTGGTCTCTGGCTGCAGAATGGGCACTGTTCACTCTACTCACAGAAGCCTCCAATTTAGCAGATAAAAACACAGCTTGCCCAGTTAACTTTGAATTTCAGACAAACATGAATATACAACTTAGCGACTGAACAACAGCAACCTTCTTTATGGTCCAGTGCAATAGTTAGGATGTATTTATACTTAACACATTTGTTTGTATCTGAAATTCAAATTTAACTGCATGCATTATATCTTATCTAGGGTCCCTTCTTCGGGCAGCATGGTGGGTCTATAAAGGGCTGGGAGGGCGGGAGCAAGGGAGGAAAGGGGCCGGTTCCAGCTGAGCCAGGTTCCGGTGGGGGGGCCTTAAACTAGGGTGGGAGCACCCCGAGTGTGTATGTCTGTGTGGCCAGCACCCTCCAGGCTGGCCTCACCCCATGGAGGCTCGGAGGGTTCAGTCTCCACCCCAGGACAGCCAGCTCAGCTTCCCTTGGGTCAGTGTGGGAGGGAAAGGGGCCTGAGGACGGTGGCCTTTAAGCCCTGGACTCCAGAAGCAGGAGAAAGTATGGTGGGTCACCATGGAACACACAGGCTTCTTGACCTTCATCTCCAACTGCATGACTCCATGGGGCTTTGGACACAAGGCCCGCAAGGGCAGGAGTGGGGGGTCTTCTTTGCTCAGTGCCTGGCGTACAGCAGGTGCTAAATGAGTGTGTGCTGACATGTCATGCAGGAGCTTGTGCTTGCCTTGAAGGGATTTGGGGAGCCACAGCTGCTCAGGTTATATTGGGAGGAGTAACCTCGCCATAGACAGGGGCCTTGTGATGGCTGTGTGGTGGGCACCCGGCCCTCAGCTCGCAGAGGGGGCTGCCCTTTTCCGGGGACCTCAGATATTGCCTGGAATCTTACCTGAGCAGCAATGCATTTTGAAAGTTTCAACATGAAGTGCCTAAGCCTTAGTGGTGCTGAATGCAGCATCTTCCCGCCTTGTCACAGGGCCTTTCTTGGGCTCTGCAACCACAGGGCCTAGGTTCTGATCCCAGGCCTGCCACACAGTGGCAGTGTGGCTTTGGGCAAGTGTCTTGACCTCTTTGAGCCTTAAGTTGCCTCCCCTGAAAGATAAAACCCGCATCAGGTGAAAAGTGACATTAAACTGGCTGTTCCTGTCAAACGGCTAAGGACAGTGTTACCAAGGAACCAGCAATTCCGCTCCCTGGTACGTGACCAAGAGAACTGAGGATCCATATCCAGACACTTTACCTGAATGTTTGCAGCAGCCGGATCTGCTGCAGCTAAACGGTGAGGCCACCCAGTGTTGGCAGATACGTGGGTGAGCTGCACGTGGTGTGTGTGCACAGCGGAGTTCACTCGGCCACAGAGAGGAGTGAAACACAAACGAATCTTGAAACCATGACAATGAGTGACAGCGGCCAGACAAGGCCACAGACGCGGGGTGTCCACACCTGGGAGGCCCTAGGTTGCCACGGGGGGGAGGAGGGGAACTCAACGGGTGTCCTTTGGGGTGATGAGAATGGCCTAAATGTTGACTGGGATGGTGGCCCACCCTAATCTCCTGAGACCCCCATGCATCTGGGGACCCTGTGGTGTGGGAACCCCATCCTGGTGAGCTGGGAGTCCGCAGGGAAGGCATGGCACTGGGTGAACTCCTATGACCACAGCCGCGTTTAATGACCCCCAGGCCTGGGGGCGGGGAGGTGAGCTGCCCCGGGATGGGGGTTCCGAGGGAGCAGATTTGGTGGCCTTTGGGGTGGTCATCTGCCCCCCAGGATCCTCAGGCATCGAGGGCCCAGGATGGCCACCTTGCAATGGCATCAGGCTGGGGCCTCGTAGCCAGCCTGGCAGGGGTCACACACGGAGCACAGCCTCCACCCTAATAAGTCAGGGCGGCCTCCGGGACCTCCTCCAAGTGGTGTGTCTCAGCCTGGAATCCGGGGGTGGAGGCCCCCTGCTGCCTGAGCCGCTGAATGTCCCCCAAGGAGAACGCTCCCCCGGAGGGAGTCTGACCTGGGGAGGAAGCAGGCTGTGAGTTGGCCGGTGGTTCTGAGCACTTTGGAGGGGCCGTGGGCAAGCCAAAGGCCTGAGGTGGATGTCAGCGCATCTCCCCACACCCCGGTTTCCTGCACAGCCCCCTAGTTCCCCTGCCTCCTCCTGCAGGCGGTTGCTCAAGGGGGCCCTCCCGGGGGCCCCGAAAGGCCGAAACTGCTGGCCCACAGACCCTGGGCTCATCCTCAGCCAGCCTCCCCGTCCACCTGGCCTTGGCCACCGGTGACTCTCCGGGGGGCTCTGGTTTTCCCTGAGACCCAGATAAGGCCGCCCACTGGGTGGTCTGCCAGGGGCCTCATCCCTGACCCGCTCCCTCCCTCCCCCATGTGCCAGCGCTGGAGCTTGGATGCAGCAGGGCAGAGACCCTCGAACCGTCGGGCGATCCAGGGGAGCAGATGGAGGCAGGTGTGAGTGTGACATCTGAGCCTGGAAAGCAAGCACTTCCTGGGGACCAGGATGCCCTGTGCACTGCAGCAGCCCTGACTTTGCACCTGTTCTTCGCTGGAGAAGATCAGGCATCAACCCAGGTCAGGTGGTCATTGGTCAGCAGTCGGCGGGCCGCAGGGAGCCCAGCGGGGAGGGAGGTACCACTAGTTCCTTCACTAGCCATGTCATTTTTGGGTTAAATGGGTAAATTGTCAGGTGCCACGTACGGAGCAGCCTCTCCCGAGGGACACCCCTCCCAGCTGTGGGGTCAGTGCAGGGCCGCCCAGCTGAACGTCAGGGGACCCCACGGCAGAGGCGGCGCCCCGGGCACCACCAGGCGGGGCAGAGGTAGAGGCTCCAACAGCATTTACATAATTGATTGTAAATTGCTCCCACTTTGTTTAAGGTTCCTTTGATTCCACTTAATACTAGCTTCTCCGTGGCTGCCGCCAGATGCTGCGGTAAGTTCACATTTTCGGAAACGGTGAGACACGCCCAGCAGGGAGACACTGCAGTCATGCTGCTTGTGCCATGCAGCACACCCAGCCTCCCTTCCTGCATGGGGCACCCTGCCTCCCCCGGAAGGAGTTTCGGATTGCCCAGGCTCCCAACCTGGTGCCCAGACCTGGTGGCAGAGCACTAACTCCTGGCAAATGGCTGTCGGGCCTCCTGCGTGGGGACCCAGGGCCCGAGGAGACAGCCTGGGACACACGGAGGCACACGGCGCGGCCGTCTGGGCTGAGCGGGCCTGGGCCAGTCCCTCAGATGGGGCTGAGGAATCAGAAGCAGATGCTGTGGAAAGGCCCATTTGGTCCATTCCTGCCCAGAAGTGGGGGCGGGAGGCAGAGCCACCAGGCCGGCCTCCCCAGCCCCGGGAGCAGGCTGACCTGCCAGGGACCCTCCAGGGCCAGGAAGTGTCTCTGTGGATGCCAGGGGCACCTTGAATTCCCCAACATCAACTTGTGCAAATCTGGGCCCTTAGAGCAGAAGTGGGCAGGCCGGCAACCAGAGGACTCCAGGCCTAAGAGGGCACATTGGAACTCTTTGGCTTCCAACATGGGTCTGCACAGGTCTGGCTCGGCCAATCCCCGGTCATGTTCACAGCCTCAATGTTTCGCTGCTGACCCAGGGGCCTGCCTTCTTGAGATGGGGCAGGGGCCTTAGTGGCCCTGGGTGGGGGTGGAGGCCCGGCCAGGCAGGCCTCTCGGCCACGACCTGAAGGCTGGGGAGGGCCGCGGGGGGTCGGGCGGCCACGCCTCCAGGTGAGATGGTGGGCCAGGTCCAGAGTGGTCCCGGGGCCCCGCGGGCAGCGTCCCCCTCACTGTGTCCCCATCTGTCCATGGGACCACCAGCCCCTCCCCCACCCCAGCTCAGCAGAAGGGTGCCAGGGTCCCGACTCCAGAGTCTGCTTGGGGTGGCAGGTCCCCACTATTCCCCGGGGGGCTCCTGAGCAGGATGGATGCTTGCCGTCCAGCTCGCCCCGGTCCCCAGACATGTTCTGCAACCCAGGTTAGTCTTGTGTGTGTGTGTATGTGTGTGCACTTGCTCACTCATGACCGACTGCAACCCCACAGATTTTAGCACTTCAGGCTCCTCTGTCCATGGAATTTCCCAGGCCAGAATACTGGAGTGGGTTGCCATTTCCTCCTCCAGGGGATCTTCCCGATCCAGGGAGCAAACCCCCATCTCTT